GTGCGCCCAGGAGAATCTCAGCCCGGTCTCTTGCGTCCCATCCAGCTAGGACAGGTTCGCCCAGGAGAATCCCAGCCTGGTCTCTTGCGTCCCATCCAGCCAGGACAGGTGCGCCCAGGTGAATCTCAGCCCAGTTTCTTGCGTCCCATCCAGTCAGGACAAGTGCACCCAGGAGAATCTCAGCCCGGTCTTGTGCGCCCAGGAGAATCTCAGCCCGGTCTCATGCGCCCCATCCAGCCAGGACAAGTGGGCCCAGGAGAATCTCAACCAGGTCTGGTACACCCAATCCAGCCAGGACAGGTTCGCCCAGGAGAATCTCACCCCAGTCTCTTGCGTCCCATCCAGACAGGACAGGTTCGCCCAGGAGAATCTCAGCCCGGTCTTGTGCGCCCAGGAGAATCTCAGCCTGGTCTCTTGCGTCCCATCCAGCCAGGAAAGGTTCGCCCAGGAGAATCTCACCCCAGTCTCTTACGTCCCATCCAGCCAGGACAGGTTAGCCCAGGAGAATCTCATCCCGGTCTTGTGCGCCCAGGAGAATCTCAGCCCGGTCTCTTGCGTCCCATCCAGCCAGGACAAGTGCGCCCAGGAGAATCTCAGCCCAGTCTTCGGCACCCAGGAGAATCTCAGCCTGGTCTCTTGCGTCCTGGCCAGCCAGGACAGGTTCACCCAGGAGAATCTCAGCCCGGTCTTCTGCACCCAGGAGAATCTCAGCCCGGTCTCTTGCGTCCCATCCAGCTAGGACAGGTTCGCCCAGGAGAATCTCACCCTGGTCTTGTGCGCCCAGGAGAATCTCAGCCTGGTCTCTTGCGTCCCATCCAGCCAGGACAGGTTCGCCCAGGAGAATCTCAGCCCGGTCTTGTGCGCCCAGGAGAATCTCAGCCCAGTCTCTTGCGTCCCATCCAGCCAGGACAAGTGCGCCCAGGAGAATCTCAGCCCGGTCTCTTGCATCCCATCCAGCCAGGACAGGTTCACTCAGGAGAATCTCAGCCTGGTCTTGTGCGCCCCATCCAGCCAGGACAAGTTAAACCAGAAGAATTTCAGCCCAGTCTCTTACGTCCCATCCAGCCAGGACAGGTACACCCAGGAGAATCTCAGCCTGGTCTTGTGCGCCCAGGAGAATCTCAGCCAGGTCTCATGCACCCAATTCAGCCAGGACAGGTTCAGCCAGGAGAATCTCAGCCTGGGCTTGCCCGTCCCCTCCAGCCAGGTCATGTGCACCCACTCCAGCCTGGCCTAGTGCATCCTGTTGTGTCACAACCTGGCTTAGTACATCCAGGGCAGTTACAGCCAGGCCTGGTGTATCCAGGCGAATCCCAACCTGGCCAGCTTCTTCCACTTCAACCAGATCATGTTCATCCAGGGGAGCCCTTTCCTGGGCCTGTGCATCCAATGGTTATCCAGTCTAGTCTAGGTATGTGAATTTTCTTTTTACTTAAATATTTGTTATTGCCAGTTTTGTACATGTGTAATATGGAGCATTTACTGTCACTCCATAAAAGTAACTTTGCTTTCTGGCTTTATGTTTTTAATTCCTGAATGTGCAGTTCTTATCATACCGTGAAAAAGAGATGGATTTATATAGGTATTATTGCTCTATATTGCTTTTCTAGTTCTTGTTTTTTTTTAATTTATACACTACTAAATCTTGTGTGTCTGTAACCTTTAATTAATTGAAATGGTGCCTCATAGGCTGAGATATTTTCAACCAAATTTACCTCAAATGGGCTAACTTGTAGAATGCTTCTAACATCTGGTACCCATAGCACCTGTGGAATTGAAATCTGGCAAGTTTTATAAAACATTTTATGACATAAAAATTATCAAAGTATTTTATGACATAATACAAAATGTCATGAAACATTTCATATGTCAGCTCCTGATGTCTGACTGCTATTTGACATGGTTTACTTTCCATGGAGATACATTAACAAGTCTTGATGTCCATTGGAAGTTCTGCTATTTTGAAGGCATTGAGGAATCCAGTAAGGAAATATATCTGAAACAACCTAACAAGTCACAGGTGATGTCTTTATGTTTAGGTATAAAGCCCTTTCAGTTTTCAGCTTCTTGTATATTTCTGGCTTTCTCCCTTTGTTCCTTGAATCACAAGAGTTTGTGATGCTAAGCTCAAACCAGACAAAAACATTATGGTTTATTATGATATAGGCATCTAGTCATTAAGGGCTAATTTTTCTAGTTTCTAAACAATATAATTTCTCTTACCAGGTCGCCCTCTAACTCAGCAGCAATGCCAAGTTTTTTCTGGGAGAATACCTTGTGCAGAAGTACAAGGACCAACAGCTTGCCATCAGACTGGTTGCTGTTATGATGCTAGGGATCAGGTGACACCATGCTACTATGGCAACACAGGTAAAAAAAAAAACTTAATTCTGAGCCTAGGGTCCAGCCATTGCTGTACTCTGAAAGTGAAAATGTCTTGTTTGCTCTCAGCCGGTAACAGGTTTTTTTTTCTCCTTATCCACATTCTTTGCAGCATTTTATCAAATAAGATCATTTTCCAAAAAGAGAGTTTATATGCAATAGTCATATCTTGTGCAAGTTTCATTTTTAAGTTTTTTACATATTATTTAGGATTTTTTGTTAGATTTTTTTATCCCACCTTTTTTCCATATACAACTCAAAGTGGCAAACTTACTCATACTCCTTCCTCCTATCACGACAGCTCTGAAAGGTGAGTTGGGCTGAGACTGAGTGCCTAGCCCAATGTTATCCAGCTGGTTTTTCATGCCTAAAGTGGGACTAGAATTCACTATCTTCTGTTTCTGGACCAGCACCTTTACTGCACCAAACTATAGTGGAACACCAAGCTGGTCATTGGGACAACTATCCCAATTCTCAACCAGCATGGTCAATAATACTAGAAATTATTGTCAACTTGTAAATCATTTCTATGCCTGTTTTCAAGTTGCCATAAACAACTTGAAGGTGGGGGGGAGGGAAACCTGAAGGGGCAGTACGGCAATTAAAACCAGAAGTACATTCCATGTTTGTCTTACAAAGATTGTAGCCTAGGCTACTGGATCTCCTGGCCTCAAAATCCTTTTTCATATGGCTCAATGCCGACATGTTGCTCCTAATAAATCTTTTGGATTCTTTTGAAGCTTGGCTCAAGGCTTATGATTTCATTAGGGCATTCGCAGGAACTCTGATATATTCACTGGGACATTTGCAGATTACACATTGATTCACATTGGTGAAGCTTATTCTAGATACTCTTTATTTTTAATTTGAGAAACATCAAAGCTTCTGTGAGAAAGCAGCTGAGCAGTAGAGTTTCTTCTCCCAGTCTGATGAGATTAAGCGAGAGAACTATCACTTCTGCCTTTTCCTGAAAATAAACAAACCTACCCACTCACCCCAAGAGTTCTTGATCTGTTTGCCTTTTAACCTCTGCAATTTGTGTCTTGCAGTCACTGTTCAGTGCCTTCGAGATGGCTACTTCATTTTGGTAATTTCCAGGGATATGTTGGATTATCCGATTATCCTGGAGAGTGTCAGACTCTCCTATGCCCAAGCAGATTGCAGTCCAATCAGAAAAACAGAATCTTTCCTGGTCTTCCGCTTTCCTCTCACACAGTGTGGCACAACTGTTCAGGTGAGGATGCTGTTTCAGCAAGTGCTAATCTATCTGGAACTTGAAGGATCTTTGATTTAATTATTAGACCATATAAAAATGCTGTTGTTTGTTATCCTTCTAGGTGACTGGTGGCAAATTGATATACGAAAACCAGCTTGTTTCTGGCCTTGACATCCTAAAAGGGCCAGATGGCTCTATTACACGAGACAGTACCTTAATGTATGTTGAGTTTGCCATGTACCAATGAGATAGTTCTCCCTTTAGTTTTAAGATATAGATATTTTTAGTCTTCTAAATTAAGTTTTACAGATTTGATCTTGGTCTTCTTTAGCTTTTGACTGATGTAACTATTTTTCCAGACTATGGACCATGTTAACTGATTAGAATAGGAATGGAAGTCCAAGTATAGAAGATTTCCCACTTTTGGCATAGATTGGTTGTGGACTGCCTTTCAAGTGCATCATTTGTAAACTAAGGTCCATCTTCCATAGCTCATCTTTTGAAAGTATCCAATTGTTAAGTGCAGTTTGATTCACGTTTGTTTAGATTGCCATAAATAATCATGTTATAACAGAAATTTGTTAACTCAAAACCTTCGAAAGGATAGCTATCTACTAAAACTAAGATTCATTTTGAGTATTCTACTCAAAGCAAATGATTTACAGGAAAGTCTCTTCCATCTTGTACATGTAGGCTTCATGCTCGTTGTATCTACAACACTACTGATTTCCTGCCACTTCAGGTTGAAGTGTTTTCACCTCCTAGCCCAGCTCCAATTTTCCAAGTAGGGCCCCTCCGGCTTGAGCTGCGCATTGCCACAGGTACACATGCCTTTATGTCTCATATCAAGACTGCTGTGCATCGCTTTGCCTTGAAAAACCATACAGCCTTATTTTGCCTCTTGTCCCCAGATTCGAGCTATACCTCATACTACTCACAGTATCCTATTGTGAAGATCCTGAGAGACCCTGTGCATGTAGAGATTCGCATCCTACAGAGAGATGACCCATCCCTAGTTCTGGTTCTTAATGAGTGCTGGGCTACTCCAAGTTCAAATCCCCTTGAGCAATTACAGTGGCCAATCCTGGTAGATGGGTAAGTAAATAGAAAAATGCTAATTCTCAAAGGACTGGGTGGTTTCAATGGCAATGTTATACTTACTTTATTTAAAACAAGTTTATATGGCCATCCAATTTAATCAATGTGACTCTGGGTGGCTTACAGAAAATTCAGCACACCTGGTTAAACCAATTAATAAAGATGAAACAATAAAATGTAGATCCAAATGGAAATGAAACCATCACACAATTGGGCCTTCAACACATCACGAGCCCAAGGCTTGGAGAAAGAGCCACGTCTTGACAGCCTTTCTAATGCGTCTTCTTCCCAGATGCCCATTTGAAGGAGACAACTACAGAACCCAGCTGGTACCCATGGGACCTGCTACGTCAGAACTTCACTTTCCTAATCACTACCAGCGTTTCATCATTTACACATTCACATTTGTGGATTCTGCCCCTCAAATGGTGCTAGATGGTTTGGTAAGAAGATAAGCAAAATAATTCTTTTTATATTCAGTTTTTCCAATGAAATTACCTTCTAAGAGAGTAGGGGACAATGTGCACAGTATGCTACTTGAGTGTAATGGGGTGGGGTGGGGAAATCTAGTAACTACTTTTCCTAAGAAAATGGTGTGGTCGGTTTTTTAATACTAGTACAGATCACACATGTTGCTAAGGAGCAGGTCTGAAACAAATCTCTGGAGGGCATTAACCTGGATTTTTAATGGGCATTTTGGGGTGAGACCAATATATTTATTTGTAGCCATCTTTTATTACAAATCTGTTTTAAGAAATCTTGTTTTTTGAATACCTGTATCTAATAAACTTCTCATGGAAGCTGTGCTTATCATATATCTAAAGAGAGATGGCCAAAATAGACAATACCTTAACTGTTAGGGCACTGCCCATTGCTTGCTTATTTGGGTAAATAAAGGAGACTGAAAATGTCTTTTTTAGCAAGGTGTTAATGAGTACATATTTTGGAGATATATCTTAATAGAAGCTATAATCTTGAAAGTAACTAAAATTAGACCTGGCAAGATTGAGGCTGGTCTACTCTATTAACAGACTCGTGTTCTATCTTTTGAAGGTGTACCTCTTCTGCAGTGTATCTGTTTGCCATCCCGCCGATCATGATTCCTGCAGGGTTGAATGTCAAATGCCAGTGGCTTCAAGTAAGTTAGAATGTTTCACTGCCACAGTTTTAAAGGACTTTTCTCCCTCAACTTCCCTCAACATGATCTAGTTTAAGGAAGGATTTTTAAAATCATTTTCAATAATTTAGCATTGCC